AAAAAGTAAATCAGAGCTAAAAAAGTGCAAAAACGCAGGCAAATTTGCCTGTGTTGGTCTACATATTAAGGGATAGTAATATTATTAACCGAATTTAAGTAATTTACTACTATAAGCTTAGTGTTCTTTTGGTAATTAAACAAAATATTTACACTTCTGGCCTGACTATCAGTTGTTTCATCTACAATTATAGCTACAGGCTTTTCTTGAAAAGCTTCTCTTAATTCATTAATATGTTGTTAGTAAATTTCTGGTAAATAATATCACCTTAATGCATCAGCTTGTGGCACTGATCCTCCTTTACAATACTTTCTAAAAAATAGTTGCAATGCATCCACTTTTTCTAAAGATATATTTGCCTTAACAAAGGCTTCTACAAGATCCTTCGCTACTATTTTTTTAGACTCTGCTGCAGATAAAGAATCCTCCAAAGTTTGAAACCAACCATTTTGAGCAGATATTTCATAATTTTTTTGTTTTTTATATAGATTTGAGAATTAATATAGCTAGTAATGCTAACTTTATACTTTCAGGTAACTGAATGTCCACAGTAAATACATATTAATGTATTATTAGAAATGTTAAAAGTATTTTAAAATTCTTTTTGATGGGTATATGGGGTAATTTTTTTCAACTTAGTCATTATTTCATGAGTTTCTGGTAAATAATCAGAAATTTGTCTTTTTTATAAAGACTATGATGACCAGAAAAATAAAGAGTACCAGTAAACTATATTATTACTTCTTTAATTCAGGTAATTAGATTCAATGTAAAAAAATTTTTTTTTTTATTGTTAATCTTGCCCAATAGCAATTTTGCCAAAAATTTCAAAAAATTTCAATCAAATTTGGCCAAACTTTGTGAAATTTCAATCAAATTTGGCCAAATTTCAAAAAATTTTGATTTGACCAAAAAATTTTAATTTCTTTCAAAAATTTTACGGGTCCTTGATAAGAGTATTGAAGATAGGTTTTGGTTCTTTTGTATTTTATTAATCAAATTAATACTTTAGATATTACAGTATTATCAGGTTATGGGTATTTTAGGTTTAGCGATTTTGATATAAGCAATTTTGGGTCAAAAAGAATAATTTGTTAAGAAACCAACTTCTACTAGATAGATTTCGAAGTTTGAGAGTTGTAAAACTTCGTAGAGTTATCCTTTATTTAGCGTTGAGCAAGAGCTCTTATATAGACAAAAATTACATGCTAAGAAAAGATAAAATAAATTCTTTTTTATCTTTTGTATCCTTTTTTATCTTTTAATTCTTTTTTATTGTTTTTATCTTTTTTGTCTTTTTTATCCATGTCCCACCTTCTATTACTACAAATAGCAATTATTACTGAAAATAGAAAAAATGTAATATAAAAAATAAAAATAGAAATGGCACAGCCCAATTTCGGGGTGGTGCTGCATCTAGGTTGCCCATCACAACTCTCCTCCACCAAAGAGAGCTTGTAACACAAGCTCATTGTTGGTCAAGTCATTAAATTGGCTGGCAGTTAGAACAGCGATTTTAAAGAGGTAGGTATATTGAGTTCTATATATCTGTTCGACCCTGTAGGGTTCAAACAAGTAATAAGTTTGAGTGGCAGCCCAAAGAAAATAGCTGCCATACTCTCTTCGTGCGGCTGCTTTTTCGTCGGAGGCAGCATAAGAAAACCGGGTGCCAAAATAAAAAGCATAGGCTAGGACGTCAGTCCTTCTTCCAAGACTTCTGGCCCATTTCATTTTATTATGAGCAAGAGCCAATTGTGTCACAATGCCTTGGTCTCCGTTAAAGGGGCAGGGATTACGAAGACTGGTTCAGTATAGAGTAATTCTTGCTAGATCATTCTCTTGTTGTTGGTCATTTTTTTGTAACTAGTTCTTAGGATATTATTTGTTTCTTGTGTATAGAAATGATAATTCTCAAAGGCTAATTTTTTACCTTTATATATATTTTTTACTTCTTCCTTCCATTATTCTTTTTCCACTTCTTTTCTTTTCCTTTTCTTTTTCTTCTTCTTTCGTTCTTTTTTTTTTTTTTTTTTTATATATTATGTTTTAATGTCTGCAGTATCTCAGTATTGACCTTCTTTAGTTGCTTCGTTCGAAATAGGGTTTGAGTAAGGCTTTGTTTAAGGGCGTCGCTAGTACTGTCCCATTTAGTTCTCTTAGCTTATAAGTGCCGTTTGGAAGAGTATCATGAATATAGTACGGCCTTTTTCATTTGGGCGTCAGTTTATTGCTGTGTGTGCCCAATTTCCTGGTGTCTAGTATGAGAATTTTTTCCCCAATACTAAAGTTTCTCGTGGCTTAGGTACATAGATCATGTCGCTCTTTCTGCTTTTGCTGAGCCTTGTTGATCTGATCGACAGCATTCTCATGCGCTGTGGGTAAATCATTGTTGATCTCATATAAGTGCTGTATAATAGTCACATTCAATAGGTCTTCGGTTGCACTAGGATGCAATGGTAGCTGGGCTGATCTACCATATATCAAATAAAAGGCATTTTACAGGTTGTGGCTTGCTTTGTCGTATGATACACAAAAAGTATTGATGAGATTATTAGGTTCCAATTGGTTACATTTGTCACTAGTCTTGCAATAGAGTTGCACAGGGTTTTGTTGAAATGTTCAACAAGCCTATTTGTTTGTGGGTAATAGGAGGTGGAGCAATGATACTTAGTGCTTACAGCCGCAAGTAATTCATCCACAACGTGGTTGTTGAAATGCGACCTCTGGTCTGTTAGTATTATGCTGAGACAGTCATGTCTACAAATAATTTCCTCATAGATGAACTTGGCCACCTCCTGCGCATTAGCTTTTGGAATTGTGCGAGCCTCAGGCCATTTAGTCATATAGTCAGTTGCAACGACTATATATTTGTTAGAGCACGGCATTATTAGTAAGGGACCGACTATATCAAGGCCTACTCTATGGAATGGGGCTTTCACGGGTATAGGATGAAGTAATTCTTTCAATTTCTTACTCCCGTGTAGTTGGCAGCTTTTACAGGTTTTGACATACTCATGTATATCACTATACATTTGCGGCCAATAATAGTAGCCACAAATTTTGTTAAACATAGCATTTTTCCTGAAATGTGCCCCTATTGGATGGTCGTGGGCTAGGGCCAATATGGTCTCAAGTTCTTCTTCTTGTAAAACTTTTACTAAGTTTCGCTAGGGCTTTCTATTTTTTGTGTATAGGGCTCCGTTTTTTACTTGGTAGAAATAGCTCTGCTTTTTTAGCCGGTCTTGTTGCTGAGTAGTGTAATGTTGTGGGTAATTTTGATATCGTATATATACTTTTAGTGCTGTGTAAAGTTGTGGTTCTATCTTTGTTTAACTTGAATAGTCAATATTTGGTCTTCTTTAGTTTTGAGCGTGCCAGGATACCAACAACCTGATCTGAATTAAGCTTTATGTCAGGTTTTTAGCTCAACAGTATGTGTATAGCACCTTCTGGGTAAGTGGTATCTTTGGGCCCGTTTTTAGTAGTTTCTTTGTTTCTGGTTAAATTTGGCTCAAGGTTTTGTTGTTTCTTTTTTAGGCTTAACTTCGTGGCATTTTCCAGTTTCTTGTATTGTCTTTTAAATCTTTTCTTCAGGTTAGTTCTCATAACCTAGCTATGCAATTGGTTTCATTCTGCAATTTTTTCTAGGCCGTTTCAGCAGAGTTTAACTAACTCTAATTCCATTTTGATAACAATATCCAACATTGTATTACTTTGGCAGGTTACTAGTGTGTTTTTGGGTCTCTCTCTATGTTGAATTGTTTTCTTTGTAGCTTTAGAAACTTGGTTTGGTGGTAGGCTTGTATTTCGGTGACCTATATTAAATAGGTAGCTATATAAATTCGGCTGACAACCTGATCTTTATTTGGGTTGTTTTATGACTAACAATCTCTGCTTCCTAGATTTCATCCATGTTCGTTCTTTTTCGACCCCAATTCTGTTTTTATAGCAATACTCAATACTGTATTGCTTAAATATGTTGTTAGTGTGTCTTTGAGCTTTTCTGCTTGTAAGAGTGGGTTGTCCTTAGTTGGGTTGTTTGATTTCTGGCCTTCTTTAACTAGAGTAGTAGATCGTATAAATTGCCTTCTTGTAGCCTCGAACCCTTCGCTTGGAGTATGTTTACTGTAGTATTTATCAGTCAAGTCTGGATTTCTAAACCTCCAAATCATCATTTTGGTGATTTGAACTGATCCCAATAGGTTAGTATCTTTTTTCCCTTAATGTTCTTGCTGATTAGATAATTCATAAGTCTCCTTTTGAATAGGGCCCCACAACTCGTCCATCTCATCCTGACTATCTTTACTTTAACGTTAGGTCTGTTAGAGCAAGCCAAAAAGAAAAATTAATTAGCTTTCTCAAAAGATAGGTACAAAAGTTCTAAGTTGTTTTTTTTTTTTTTCAAAGTTTTCTCTTTTTTTTTTTTCTTCAAAGTTTTTTTTTTCTTTTTTTTTCAAAGTTTTTTTTTTTTTCTTTTTTTTTTTTCTTCAAAGTTTTTTCTTTTTTTTTTTGCTTTGATATAAGTGGTTCTGTCCCAATTTTGTCTTATATGGATTTGCAACCTTGATTAATTCTTTGTAAGGTGGATTGCTATCCTTACTGTGAATCATTATAGTCCCAATTGATATAGTCATCGAATTCTCATAACCACTCAGGGTTTTCTAAGTTAGCAGTAAATTCGGAAAAGATTTCTTCATCTTCATTGGTATTCCACCAACAATGGTTGGAGCCAAGTTGAGAATTATAGTAGCCATAGCCCATATATTTATATTCATCATCACTTCTGGCTTCAAATTCCAGCTCTTTGGTGGTTTCTTCCCACTGGGGTATATTGATTAGATAGGTCTCTCCTAGGTTCATAGATTGTGGGTTATTCACAGATTGATTATTGGTGTACTCATGGTTGTACCCATTTCTAATCAACCAGATTATATCTATCCCTAATTCTAGGGCTAATTCAGTTAGAAGGCTTTGAATATATCTTTTATACTCCACTTCTTGGGTGGTGAGTTCTTCATATTCTTTATACTCCTATTCAACACTAGTGTCTTCTGTTTCTTCACTATTGTAGTCTCATCCACTTCATTCATAAGTACTGTCCCAAGGAATCATTTCTAGTTCTTCATCGGAGTCTTTAGCAAAGTATTCCTGGGCAATTGTTCTAAATACTTTTACTTCTTCTACTATGTCAACTATATTTACTGGGGCTTCTTGGAAAGATTCGTTTTGGCCTATATTTTCCTTTTCTGTCATCATTTTTTTACAATAGCTAATTGCCTTATTTTGTTCCTCTTCCTTTTTTGTGGGGCTTCAACCATTCTTGACAATGCATCGGCATTGTTATATATCTATCCTGGCCTATGCACTATTTTAAAGTTATAAGATTTTAGGCGAAAGATCCATCGGGCTCTTCTTCCTTTCGGGCCATATTATGAAGCTATTTTAGGGCTGTATGGTCTGTAACAACTATAAAAAGCTTATATTCAAGGTAGTGATGGAAATACTCGACAGCCTATACCACAGCATAACATTCAAGTTCTGTGGTCATGTAGTTTTTTTCGGGTCGAATAAGGCCTTTACTGGCATACACAATGGCGTATTCTTTCTTTTTTTCATCTCTTTGAGCTAGCACGACTTCAAGACCAGTACCAGACGCGTCGGTATAGAGGTAGAATGTTTTTTCGAAATCTGGGTATCTTGGACCGGGGGCGGTAGTTAAGTATAATTTAAGGGCTTGAAAAGCTTTATCTTGCTCTGGGCCTACTCATATTTTGTTTCCTTTTTCAAAAGCTTATGTAAAAGTTTGGCTATAGTTGCGAAGCTGCTTATAAAGTGCCGGTAGTAGAAGGCAAGACCAATAAAGCCTTTTAGTTGTCTTAAGTTGGTAAATACAGAGAAATTTTTGACCTTCGCTATTTTTTTCTCATCCAGCTTAATACCTTCATTAGCAAAAATATATATGTATAAACTTTTGTAAGTTTTTACGGTGCGTAAAAAAATCGTAAACTTATGTAAAATTTAGCATAAAACTACGTAAATCTTACAGTGTGTAAGAAAATCATAAATTTACGTAAAAATTTTACGTTGGTTTATATAAATCTTACGCACCATAAAAACTTACGAAAATTTACAGAAGTATATAAAAATTTATAAATCCTAAAATTTAAATCTCAAGAAAAATAAAACT